ATTATCTTCTGCAGGTGCTGGGTGCAAATATTGTGAGAGTGGTCCAAAATGTTTGCTGTATATTCCATATCTGTTACAGATGTAAATAGTCATAGCTGGTCAATAAAAAGAAGGTGTCAGTTGCCCTTTATAAATTGTTTCATCCTATGCTATCAGTTTATCACTAATACTCTACGAGTTACAAAATGGCTTTAATTACCAATATTTTGATCTTTCTTTCAGGTTCCGACATTTTGAGGAGTTGCATCGGCGGCTTAGGGAGTTTCCAGAGTATAATCTTCATTTGCCACCAAAACATTTTTTGTCAACAGGTTTAGATGTACTTCTCATTCAAGAACGATGTAAATTACTTGACAGATATTTGAAGGTTAACCATTTAAACTCCCTCTTTAATGTCCTTATTGGTAAACATTATTCAACATTTGGAATTAAGGATATGTTTGGAATAAATCTATAACTTGTATGGAACTTATTTGTTTCAGATTTATTTTAATTAAAAGATGATAAGAGGCATACCTAAAATGAAAAAGATTTGGTTAATATGAAATTTTATATGAAATTAGAACATATATTCCAAATTTGTCAGTTTTAATGGAATTTAGAATATATTGAGCATTGGAAACAGTCTACACATTTTATCAAATTTTTATTCCATCATGGATTCCATATATATATATCCTAATACAGTCTATAAAGTCTCCTGATTAAACTAAGAATGGACTTGTATATAAATTTCACAATATTTATAGATTTGTTCTGAATATAATATACATTTTATGCCTCTGTTTAGGAAATCCCCTTTTCTTGCCTGATTTCTGATTTTTAACTGCATATTGGGAGATTTTATTCATTAACCGTATATGCCTCTTGAAGTTATTCTAATAATAATCTTGTATTCTAGTACTCTTTTTATGATTCTCTTGTGAGCTAAGACCGGTCAGCAGTTTATTCCTTGCTTCGTCACTTACACGAGTTTAGACTTGCTATTCAAATATGTAGACTTCCACTTTATTGAACTAGTTTTGATTCGCCTCATATTGTCCCTTCATGTCGTGTGCTTGCTCCTAATACTTAGTTAACTGTTCCATTTATTGTCATTTCTCAGAAGCTCCTGCAGCTTCCAACAGTTTCAGGATCAATTGAAGTTTGGGATTTTCTTAGTGTTGATTCTCAGGTTTGGTAGTTTTTCCTTCCATTTATAGGTTTCTGTAGGGGTATGAATATTTCTTTCATGGCTAATTTCTTATATTATCTGCTGTCTGCAGACTTATGCATTCTCAAGTTCCTTCTCTATTGTGGAAACTTTGTCAGGTAAACAATTACTATGCAGAAAAATGTTTCTCCGAGTTTATCTTTCCAAAACATAAGAAACATCTGTCTTACTTCATTCCTCTTTCTCCATTATTAATTTTTCATGTTGTGTATGAACTTTCTAGTTGATCTGGATGATAAGCCTCCTGAAACAAGTAAAAAGCTTTTGAATGTCACTGGACCTGTGGTTGATCAGCTATCCTCCCGGGGAGAACATTTGAGCATTGAAAACAGAGAATCTTCATTGCAGTTGAAAAATAATTCTACAGTAGATGGGTTAAGGTTGGATACAAAAGGTTCATCTCATTCCTCTGTGGCTGGTAAAGAACATGAAAAGTCATTTACTTCAGAGAGTGATCCAAATGGTAGGATGCAACAAACACATCCTTCGCGAAATTTGGGAAAGATGCTAAAAGAAAGAGAGACTGATGGTTTGGAAGAGATTTCCAGGTCGCTTGCTGATGCTGCCACAGATCCATCCCTTCCTACAGAGGTAAACGATCACATAATGTCCTATAATCAGTCTGTCTAAATTTGCACGCTTGTGGACCTTTTTTTATTTTGGTAGATCTTTGAGTCTGTAATGTTGGTAATTGTCTTCCATGCAGTGGATACCACCAATGATAACTGTCCCCATGCTAGATTTTATTGATGTTATCTTCCAGCTCCAAGATGGTGGATGGATCAGGTGAACTATCAGTGCTTCTATGATTATTATATAATTGTCAGTATTGGCATTCAAGTTTCAATCACTATTTCTTTCCTCCCCAACCCCCACGACAGAAACATTATATTTTTGTTTGTATCTCAGTTCACATCCCGTACTTTTAATTCGACTAATTTACCCTTTTTACTTTTGTATTGTCTAAAATTTGTACCTTCTCTTAAATTATAAAAGTTCTAATTATTAATAGAATTAACACTGAGGCCAGTTTAATCTCTCACTAACATTCTACTGTTAGAAATGCTCATCAGATATCGTGAGTTCTGTCAATTCCTCAAAATCATTAACCTATCTGAACCCATTATCAGATCTCTTTTCTTCATGCTATATCATAATCAGGGCCAGTGATGAGATTGAAATTTTCACTTATTATTCATATTCTCTTTGCTTATTCTCTCTCTCTACATATCCACCTATTAGCTTATTTTCCCTTATTCTTGCTTGCGATGGAATCCAAAACTAGGGGATTAGGGGAGTTGGTCAATCAATTAAGTGTGGAGGCAGCATTCATTCTATGAACAGAAAAAGAGGATTATGGATCTGAGACTCTCAAGAACAAGTATATTTATGTTAAATCAGAGTTTTATTGATTAATCGTGAATCTGCAAATTTTCTTCAGTTATAATACCTTCTAATTTTTGTGTTAGCAAAATAATTCTACCCCTCCATCTTTCCACAAAGCAAACACATTTAAGATATTCAGGAAATAGTTTGCAAAAGAAGAAAAACCTGTTTCTCTCATTTTCTCTTCCAGCCTGCATCTTCTTCTTATGGATATTTTATTAAATTTCTGAGCTAGCCTTCTGAGGTCTGTTCTCATTAAATTATGTGGTTATTTAACAGAAGGGGTAAGTTGATAAAATTTAAAACTACAGTGTAAATTGAGACAGACTTATAGGATGTTTTTTGTAATATGTACAGATATATATATATATACACATTTGATTTTATTTGATAAGATGAAGTCATGTTTCCCTGGACTTCCATGGCACAGACGGAAGGCTTTTTGGGTGGTAAAACAGGTGCTACAACTTGGAATGGGTGATGCCTTAGACGATTGGCTAATAGAAAAAATCCAGCTTCTGCGTAAGGGATCAATTGTTGCTTCCATTATCAAGCGGATTGAACAGGTGATGAGTCAATTCAACAGCTTTAAGCTTTTTCATATTAGTCTTGATTTACATTGATATTATAGTAGAACTTTTTGTACTTAATCACATTGATTTTTTTTGGGGGAGAACTTAATGCTTGCTTCTCAAAGTAGGAATTGAACTCCTGGTTCCCAAGCTATTCAAGGTGGAGATTGGAATATTTTAAACACTAAAAGTCATGCTCTAATTGTATACATCCAAGCTCATATGACAATTAAGAACTATGAACAAATTAGAAACAAGTCGAAAATGGACCAACCTGGTCTCAGGAGGCTGTGTACATTTCCTTGGTAACACATCTGATGGACTGGGATTATGTGCACTCTGCTGGAAATTTATTCAGCCCTGAATGTTAGTAATTGACAAAAGAATTTCTACTTTCCGGATTTAATCTTCCCTGTGTTTGAAATAGATACTTTGGCCTGATGGAATATTTATAACCAAACATCCGAAGCGACAACGGTTGCCACCATCTAGAAGTCCTTCCATGAGTTCACCTTGTGGCCAGCAACCCTCTGAAATAGCATCCCTTAAATCGAATGAGGAGCAACAGCAACAAGAAGCAGATCGACGTGCAAAGTTTGTATACGAGCTAATAATAGGTAACCTTGCTTTCCCAACTTTTTTCGTGTTATCGAAGGCATAAGACTTCCAATAAAGATGACTGATCCAGCAATGCACATTATTTCAATACAGACAAAGCACCAGCTCCTATCACAGGCCTTGTTGGTCATAAGGAGTATGAACAATGTGCCAAGGATATCTACTTCTTTCTTCAGGTAATCTGTTTTCAGAGAATTGATTAATCTTTCATCTTGTCAATGTGATTTCAATCTTCGGATATAGCTTTATGTTGTGATGATGATGTGATTGCATTTCTACATTATTGCAGTCATCAGTTTGTTTGAAGCAACTCATGTTTGACCTTCTTGAGCTGCTACTTTTATCTGCATTCCCGGAGTTGGATTATGTCTTCAAGCAGTTGCATGAAGAAAAGAGCAAGTTTGGGGAGTTTAAATCCAACTGATGAATACATATCAAGTTCAGTTTCAGGAATGAGAAAACACATGCTTGTGTTACTTTGCTCTTTCCTAAGGTCAAGAACAAACTTTTTATGCTTGGCTTGGCTTACGATTTTTTGCAGAAAATACATTATCCTTCATTTGGAGTAGTAACTCTGGACTTGCCCCTTGTTAGAATTTTGCTGAAATTATATATTTTGAGATGGCATGAGGGGATAAAGGAACAAAAATGTTCTTCAGCTTGGTAATTCAGTTTCGTCTCTCAATCCCCAAAACATCATTTTTTACTTTATACAATTAAGTTATAATTGAATCTTTGAAAGTTTTTTTTCTTGAATAATATATTAGTCTCTTAACATAATAAAATAAGACTTCTTAATCAGACTAAAATTACAGCAGC